CCCCATAAAAACTGGGAGTAGTTAAACTGGCCATAAGAAATCAGAAGGTGTAACTTTCCAGGTGTCAGGTTTGAATTTCATGAAATCAAGAAGAGGAAGGAATTCATCCACATAAGCATATAGCAACATTTTGATCTAAGACAAGATTGTAATTCTGACTTCACAAAGTGATACATCACTCCCTCTTTTGAAATACTTTTTGACATGTCAGTCCATTACAATGCATGGTTTAACCTTAATCCCAGGAGACTGTACTGTTATTAAGCAATAGATTAATTTTATATCATTAGAGACTTTTTTTGGCTTAAAGTTACATTGGATGTTCTAGAATTGTCCTTTTATTGCATATAAGGAGTATGTTTCTTCTTATCAACCTTCTCTATTTTCAAGAGAAAAGGTTAAATTTTGGGCACTCCTTATAACGGATCGCCAAACTCTGATTTTACTAATCCTAAAATGTATAGACAGCAAAATTAAGACTACTGGGACTGTCGCTGCTAGGTATGCTGAAAGAGATTAAAGAGTTAAATAATGACTACCTTATTCAAAAGAGTAATATTTTAATAATAACCATATAAATTTAGTCAGTGTCAAAATGCTTATCTAAACAGTGCAAATGTCTGATATTTCTATTATGAAAAACAATTAGTCTATAATAGAGATACATTAGGAGCCATCTTTGAAGATGGCATCCAGTAATTCTTATCTCTTTATATTCATGTCCCTGCATTGTCCCCTCCCTCATTAAAGAGAGTTGTCCTGTGCAGAAATAAGATATTGCATATATAACACAGCATGCCTCTGTGACCAGGTCATAAAAGATAAAGCAGCTTCTACTTTGCTATATCTGGAATCACTAATTCTGGAGGAAGCCCATTGCCATGTTAGGAAGACATTTAGGTAGCCTTATGGAGATATCCACATGGCAATTACCTGAGGCCATCTGCCAACAGCTATCACCAGCACTAGCTTGCTGGGTATATGGGATGAACTCACTGAGAAGCAGATCCTCCAGCCCAAACCAGGCCTTAGTATGGCCAGCGGCATGTGGTTTCTTTTTTTTTTTTTTAAATTTTTTATTGTTGGCTGTTCAAAACATTACATAGTTCTTGATATATCATATTTCACAATTTGATTCAAGTGGGTTATGAGCTCCCATTTTTACCCCATATACAGATTGCAGAGTCACATCAGTTACACATCCATTGATTTACATATTGCCATACTAGTGTCTGTTGTATTCTGCTGCCTTTCCTATCCTCTACTATCCCCCCTCCCCTCCCCTCCCCTCCCCTCCCCTCTTCTCTCTCTGCCCCCTCTACTGACATTCGTTTGTCCCCCTTATATTATTTTTCCCCTTCCCCTCACTTCCTCTTGTATGTACTTTTGTATAACTCTGAGGGTCTCCTTCCATTTCCATGCATTTTCCCTTCTCTCTCCCTTTCCCTCCCACCTCAGCATGTGGTTTCTTGATGGCAACCTTCTGAGAGCCCCTGAGCCATAACCATGGAGTTAAACTACTCCTGGATTCCTGACCACAGGAACTGTTATTCTATTATATTTAAGTTTACTTTGTTAATTAGTGATAGATAACTAACAATGACAGCTGATACAAGAGAAAGAATGTGGGGCTGTGAGGTTGACAAATCTAAAATGTGTTTTGAAAGCAACTTAAAGTGAATGCTCTTGGACTGGTTATTGTGTCTTAAATTTTTCATCAGTAAATCTTAACTCACAGAAGTGTGTAGAATAAATGAGAAAAAAAAAATTTAAGGACCTGGAAAGTTTTTTCTCCTTAAGAATATAGTTCTTTCTTTTCTTTAAAGTGGGCTTAATTTTATATAGTTTCTTTTTTAAGAGGGTTTCAAGCTGATTATTTTCAGCACATAGAAAAATGGACTTTACAGGGTGAAGAACTGCATGCAAAAAAGGCTAGGGATGTCCAGGCTCAGCCTCTGTTTTCTGTATATTTGGATGAAATTCTGACTTTGAAGAACTTGATTTAAGATAAATGTATATTTATAAACATTTCCTAACATGTAAAAAAAAAGTGAGGTAAATTATTTTTGACTCTTCATGTAACCTCACAGAGGTGTGTAGAACAAATGAGAAAAAAGAATTTAAAGACTTTCAAAGATCTCTGGGAAACAGAACTCCTCCAAAGCTCACAAAAATTCTTCCTCCTTCTGACAGGGTCTCTGACAGCATCTCGCTCCTGGACAGGGTCTCAAAGGTCAAGAAGACAACTCTGAAATGTGTTGTATCTGTCTCTGCCATGTGTGCACTTGATTCCATTTTTTCTGTGTCCTTGACTAAATAAATTGGGAAGTTGTGAGTATCTGTATAAGGAGTATCCTAGTTTGCAAACCTATAATCAAACTGAAATGCCTATACCTTTGGTATTTATCACTGACATTTCCAATTATTTTTGATAAACTCTGCACAGCCATGACCTACACTCAGTGCCATAGTAGAAGGGTTTAATCCATGGGTTCTTTTGCAAGATTTCCTAGATTTAAACCGCAGCTCTGCCACTAACTGCAAAAACTTGTACAAATGACTTAAAATATGCTGTGTTTTGTTTTCCACAAGCAAAATTTCATAAAAATAAGAGTATATTTCTCATCAGTTTGTTATGAGAATAAATGTTAATATTTGTTAGCAACTTAGAATACTAGCTATTCAAATAGCAATAGATAGTTTTTCCTTTTGATGAAGTAACTATTTGAATAGCCTGGAACTTGATGGTAAATCCTTAGGGAATATAGTCACAACCGTTCAGCAACCAGACTCCTTCTCTCTACATATACTTTACATTACAATAGTTTGTAAAGGAAATTATTTATAAATATTTGAAAATTTGAATAATTCCTTATATAAAACTGAGAAAATGATAAATTCATATACTTCACTCAGAACTGAAAATATGTTTGCCTTTCAAAAGTGCATCTGATTTTCACAGCTGCTAGATTTTCCCTAGGTGTGTGAGTGTGTTGGGGAAAACATTGATTGGGGAGAACCAATCTATTTTTTCCTTGTTAGCAAGTAGTTCTTAAACTTTTTTTGAAAATATAATAAAAGCTGTAGTATGTCATCCCAATAGGAAAAAAAAATCACTGAATCTATGATTATGGGTACAAATAGGAACCTTGCTGTATACAGTGTAGGCCAAGAATGTGGACTGAGAGTTATTGCAGTCTTTTTTTTTTTTTTTTTGGACAATGGTATCTGAATTTAGAAAAGGGAAAGGGAGATAGAACAGGAAAAAAAAAATCCAGGACACCAAAGTATTGGAAAAAATTTGGCCTTTAACAAAAAAGCTCTCACTTGGATGACAAATAATTCTGATGGTTACCTATTATTCCATTAATAACATATATTAAAAATGACTTTGGGAGACAGGTAAAATAATGTAAGTCAGTGTATTTAAACTCTTTTGTAGGGAACTGGGTGTTTGAGAGGTATTGCAAGGACATGCTGAGAGGAGCTCTAGACAGGTGGAACTGAGGCTTCATTCACCCCACATCTATCAGGGGAGTGCTATGTTCATAGATACTAATTCCCAAATAAGGTAATGTTTGAACAAAAAGTTCCACACGTTTCAAGTTTTGAGAGCACTCTACTGGATGTGTGGACATGTAGATAATCACAAACTGACCATTTTTCAACTTGGGTTATGAGGATCTGACAAAGACTATATTTGAAGACTTAGAATGTCATAGGTGGAATGGGGGTGACCACAGATCATTTAATCTCATTCTCAGTATTATAAAAAAATATACCACAAAGCCCCAATTAGAATTAGCAAAAAGCATAAATTAATTAGTGAAAAGAATAAGAATTGAGCAACCCATATTATAAGAGGTTGCAAATAAAATAGTTGCAAAAATTTAAGGTAAACCTACAGTGAGATATTCAGAACATTAAGTCCAATGTTAAAGTGGGAGACTATCTTCCACAAACCACTTTTTGATTCCAATTTCAAAATCAAAGTAACTGCTTATCTAATCCATTTTCACCTATCATGGCAATTGTAAGTTCTTGTGTGTTTTTGCCAGCTTTCTCTTTGGATGTTAGTTTCAATTAATTTTGAGCTCGGATCTGAGTAAAAAAACCCCATACAACTGTGTTGAATTATACGGAATTGCCAATATTTGGCTTTTCTGTTTTTTACTAAAATATGGGCAATTTAATATGACTCATCCTAATATTTTTCTTGAATTTGTCCCTCTCTAATTTTGAAGCAAGATATGTGTAGTATAGATAATAATCCTTAGGTCTGTATGACATCTTCTAGTTAGCCAACAGCTTCCTAGAAGCCTCGATAAGAGCAGTTGAAGAGGTATGAATGAGCCTACTGGTTCAAAGAAGAAGAAAGTATCAATCCTTGTCTTGTTCAAAAGCTCTTACCAAGACTTGTGTGGTTTCTCTAGGGTACAATCATACAGAGCTGACGTTAGCGTAGCCCCAAATCCTCTGGTTAGTTCTTTAACTATGTATTTTATCTCCTCTACATACTGCTTCGTGATAGAGTATCTGAAACACAGTGTCCCATAACACAGAACGTTCCACTGTCTTATGGGAGAGTCAGGCAGGTGCAAGGGTGGAGGCTTATCAAGGAAGCCAGGCTGAGTCCGCAGCGCCGTTGCATTTGAAGTGCTCTTGTGGGGGCTCTGCTCAAGTCCTTTAGAGCCAGGTTTACTTCCCAAGTAAATATGGTTGTCAGAAAGAGGCTTGGTGTGCTGGTTCAGAAAAGAAGCAAAGAAATGAAAGGCTTTGGCACTGGGGAATTTGCAGGCATTTCTGAGATTATATAAACCAATGTGGACTTTCCTTCTGGATGCTATTAGCTGCTCATCCCTCCCACGTGGGCCCCTTCCTTTTGCCTGCTGCTGAGAATCATTCAAGCCAGTTAAAGAAATTGCTTAAAGTAAGTATCTGAAACACAAACACATTAGCTCCCAGTGCTTGAAACACAGCAATAATCACAAAGTCCTTACTTCTTCTCTCCTTTGTACCACTCAAAGGCCGGAGGCGGCACACCTGCACCTTCGCACCTTATCAATCCGCTGCGTCCGGGGATCACAGTGCCCGATTTAATTTCCTGAATTGTAGGAGCAACTGAAAATGAAAAATAAAAAATAAAAATAAATAAAACCTGGTTGGTAAGGAAAAAAATAATAATCTGCAGCAAAAATATAACATACATATATTTTGATTCCTTCTATATTCAAAGCAATCTTATACCCGATATGCCAATGCATCACATTTGCAGTATTTTATGCTTGAAACACAAGACTAGTCATTTTCAGCTTCATTTTTCAAGTTGGACAATAGATGAATGTTCACAGGGAGCAGCAGAGTAAATGCAATACATTTTGGTCTTACTTCCTGTTGGAAAAAAATGGCATGGTGAGGGGAACACTTCATCTGTACTCCAGTCAAACTACACTTCAATAACAGCTCTCCTTTATTGAGTAATCACCTGGAGTTAGTCAATGGACCAGGTGCTTTATGTTCCTGATTTCCTCACAGTAATTCTCTAAGCTCGATGGTATTATTCCCGTTTTACAAATGTGAAAATGGAAGTTCAGAGACGTTAAACAATTTGTCTAAGGTCACACAGCTAGGCAGAATTTGTACTTGAAGTTGGCCGTGTTGACGCAGGCCTGGACCCTTTCTTATTCTGTTTTCCCCTACTTACTCCCCGGGTTTAGCAATTTAGTGATTTTGTTATGTGCTTTCATCTACGTGGAAACTGCTTTTCTCCATTTCCACGGATTCAATGCCTATTTTAGGTGTCATGGTCTCCATATTCTTACTTTAGCTGGAAATAACTGTCCCTTCTGTGAGTATTATTTATGAGATGCTCATGCCTTACACTTTTGCTTTTCTATTGTAACGATTTCATGGATATGGGTAGCTTCCTGGTTAGCTCCTGATGGCAGGGTCAATATCCAATTCATCTTTGCACTTTTAGAAATCAAAGCATAGTGTCTAGCAGAGAGTGATGCTTAAAAACCTTTTGTGTAACCCATCTGTTCCTTTAGTCATCAGATGGTTATGGAGCCACCAGGAGGCGCCAGGCCTTTTTCAAGGGACAAAGCAATTCCACTATCAGCCTTATTCCAGATGAGGTAGGGATGAGGAGACAATAAACAGCAGGTATAAGGACAGAGAAGTCTGAGTAAAAGTCAGAAGGTGATAAAATTAATTATAGTAAAAACAGAAGCAGTAACAGCAGACACCTTACAACAGCGAAGTAGGAAGAATTAGAGCAAGGAATGGAATGCGATGTTTTAGATGGCTGTCTGATTAGGCCTCTCTGAGAAGGAGGATTTACAAACTGGCTGGGTGCAAAGGAGTGGTTATCTCTCTGCACATATGGAGAAGGCCTTACAGGAAAGGAGAACAGCCCAGCTGAAGCAATCCTGATTTGTTTGTGAAATACCAAGATCAGTGTGGCAGAAGCAAGGAGAAGAAGGGAATGTGACAGGGGTCAAGGCCCAAGAGGAACAGGACAGGAGATCAGGTGGGACCTGGAGGGCCATGTTCCTGATATGACTTTTACCCAGTAAAATGGTGAGCCACTATAGAAGAGAGGTGGGATCCGCTTTGTGCTTTGGAAGGAGCCCTCTGGTTGCTACGTCATGGAAAGACATGGGTGAGGCCAGGATGGAAGGAAATTGCTGCAAATAACTGAAGTGATGGCAGCTCCTGCAGAGTGGCAAAAGGTGGTGCAGAGTGGCTGGGATCCAGGCCTGTTGTCATGATGGAGCCCCAAGGACCCCTTGACTGCAGTGAGAAGTGAGAAAAGGAGATGATGAGTCAAGGTGACTTCAAGTGGCTTACATGACTGCAAGAATGCCATCACTGAGAGGGGAAGTTTGTCAGGGGAAGAATTTTGGAGAAGATTTTAGGCCATGGATGATATGTCTTTTCACAAATATTTGCTTTTATACCAAGCTTTTAACATAGCACATATGTTAAATAACACAATGGGAGAGAGTTCAGTACAACTGGATCCTGGAAAATGCAAATACCTGGTTCACTTAGAAACATGACCCGAGTAACTGTGTGCTCTGAATATAGTTAAGTTTCCTTTGGAAAGCAATGAAAAAAAAATAGGGTTTAATGTTTTTCAATATGTGGTGAATATAAAACCTGGAAATAAACCTTCATAAATAAAACATTGTCTTTTTTTTTAATACCCTAGTAAATTCATCACTTTCTATTAAGGGTGATTCTTCATTTTTAAATTATTGCACCTCTATTTTTCTATGGTATTTTATTCTTAATCGTAAAGATTTAATTTAAATAAGGTTCCAGAAAAAATCACAAATACCTATTTTTATTAAAGTACTTGCTAATAACGTGGTGAAAAATAATGGAAGAATGTTTATCAAAAATATTTGAATGAGGAAAGATTGCAAGCTAATATACACACACACATACGAACACATAAAAATACACACAAATACAATGTAAAGAATACTTTAGCAATTTTTAATTGTTTTGTTAAGGGAAGATTCATGTCCCTTTGTAGAAAGCAATAAAACCTATAAAATATGCCTATAAATAAAATTCCACTCATCTGCCAATTAGTATGACACTGATTTGCTTGTAAAAGGTACAGGTAAGATTGTATTTTTACTATTGTTGTTGCAGGCTTTCAACTTGCTCCTTGTCACACTAACAGGCCGTAATCTTTCATGATATCCAACTATTATTGAAGATGAAATAACCATATGCAACAGGAGATCCATCACAAGCTTCTATTGATAACCTGGTTAGTTTAATTACTCTCTTGTTTGTCAAGGGGGCCATGACTCATTACAAACAAAAGCATGAAATCCGGAACATTGCCTGAAAACCCAGGCGTAATGAACCAAAATAAAAATCTAATTTGTCATTAAAAGGCTTTTATGCAGTACAGTGTGCATATGGTTTGGCACAGGGTGCTTTACCACACAAGTTAAAGGGACCTGATCCTGTTTTCTAGGCAGTCATGAAATGCTGATGCACACCGTGAAAGAAAAGATACCTAAAATGTCACATGAAGCATGAATAAATTGTGAATCAATCAATAATTAATAATGATACACATAAGAAAATATCCTAAGAACATTCTGTGTTCTTAGGATAGAGTAAAAGGGCTATGGGCACTAGGGCAACCAGTGTAGATAGGGGATTGGTGTAGATTGATTTTGTGGCCAACATTACAAATTCAAACCTAAGACTCTATTGAATTTTCTTAGTACATAAAAATTCATATTACTCTTCATCTTTTGAAAATGACTGAGAGGAAGAGAATTCATGTGCTTATTTATTCATCATTTCTTCATCAGTTCAATAAATATTTGTAAAAGAGACCACATTAGTGAAACATAATAATATTCCCTCAAAGAGCTAATACAGAGTGATACAATCTGAGATGCAAAAAAAGCAGGGCAAAGGAATAGCAAGGTATGGAGCAGTCATGGAGCTAGTTACTTATAAAGTAATGTTTGAGTCAAGAATTAAATGATGTGATAATAATAGTCATGTGTTACTTGCAGGAATTAAGGTTTTAAGTGAGAAGCATATTTAGGTGGAAACGTGCGTTTAAGTTCAGCATCTGTTTAAAGCACAGAAAAGTAGTCATTTTTGATGGCTTGAGTATCACTGAGAAGAATCCAGTAGAAATGGTAGTTTGGCAGCTGGGGTCCAGATTTTGTAGGTCTGGTAGCCCCTGGTGAAGGTTTTGAATATTACTCTAAGTAAGTGATATTTGGGAGATTTTGAGCACAAGAATGATATTTTGATTACAATTATATAAATTGTATTTGACTGTTCTATGAAATATAGTTTGCAGAGAAGCAGCTAGGGGGCTGGCATAGTACCTTAGGATGGGGAGAAAGTCATTGGACATACAATAGAGAAGGCAGGAATTAAGAAAAATTAATTCAATAGATCTTTGATCACACTGGACGTTCTCAATTCCTTTTAGTTAACTGACAATGCCTGAACATTTTTAGTGAAATTTCAAGTTATACTGTTCTGAACTCTATTACTTTGTACAAATAAAGGGGTTCTTTGACCAACAACAGACATTTCTGATTATGCCCAGTAGGTTTATTTCATATAGTACTTCTCAGAGATTGTGTTGTCAATGTACATCTTATAAATCTCTTCCTGGATAGAGCTTTTTAAAAACTAGTGACCATAGAATTCCAGAAGATTTTATTTGAGCATCTTGTAGGCTTGATATTTCTTGAGACATATCTGCATATGTTGGACTATTGGATCTCCAAGTTCTATTCCACATTTTCAGTTATGTAATCCATGACTTTTAAGATGAACAGTTAGCATTGGTTCCATAAGCTCCTGAGTGCTCATGAACTAGATTGTATTTACAAGTTTCATGCTAGGAGAAAGCTTCAATTATTTGCATCCTAAGGGTATGGCATTAACTTGGCTGGGATAGATGTTCCTGAAAACAATTCTAACTAATTAAATTTCCAACTGGAGCTGTAACAGTGAAAATTGTAAGTATGCTTGGCTAACTTGTACAAAACAGTCATTTTACACTAAATTTTTCCATATTTTAAGAAATCAGATTGGGCACTTCTTGGGAAAATGATTACATGATAAAACTAAATCATTTCTCTCCAAGTCTATTTCTTTCAACATTATATTCCTACCATTGCTGTGTAAATTTTGGCCTTGCACTAGCAATGTAAGCTGACAGTAGGAGTGTACATGTATGCATCATAATGTGCTTATGTTTCAGGAATTATTAGGAAGGTAGTTTTCTGTTCTGCTCTGATGAAATATTTTAATCACAAAAGTAGCAAGGAAAGAAAATGCTTGAACCTCTGAAATTCGCAATAACAATGGAATCCTTTGGAAAAAAAACTGATATATGTGTACTGCTGACATTTAAGCCCACCATCCTTGTGCCAAATTGTATATGACTGTGAGCAGAAGCAATTACACAGTGAAAAAAATCCATTTCAGAGGAATGTTATTAGATAGATACAGGTAAGAGCAGAGAACAGATGTTGGGGAAAGCCAGCAAAAGGGTCAACAAGGGGTATTTAACACCTGTGTGATTAGATGCTCAAAAAAGAAGAGTCCTT